CCGCTACAACAACAACAACAACAACCCCCGGGTAACGAGTTTCAAGCGATTCCGATCACTTTTAAAAAAGTCATCCGCCATTTTGAATTTTTGAAAACTATCATCGGATTCGTAATCAGGGACCCCAAAAACCCCCGAGTAACGAGTTTCAATCGATTAAAACCTTCAGAAGCATCAAAATCAACTTGGTAATCTTCAAAGTCGTTTTTCTCGAAATCTTTTTCTGGGCGTTGGTCCCTTTTAACTTTACGTGTCACATATACATTCTGTTTTTGATTTCGGGAATTTTCATGTTCTTTTATTACAAATTTGAAAATTTTAAAATCTTTGAAAGTTAACAAAATGTCAGAAACTTTTTGAAAAATCTAAAAACTCGATTTTCGCAGAACCACAATGGTTTTGTGGTTACGTAGTAAAAATAACAAGAATCGTAATCGCACGCAAAGCGAACAGGAGTCAAAACACGTGTTTACTTTAAATAAAATTGGAAGTTAAGAAAAATTATCATAAATGTCTAGCATTTTGTTAATTTTCAAAGTTTTTAGATTATTTTAAATCGTAAAGAGCATGAAAAATACTACTAAGATCAAAAAACAATGTATATATGCATTATATATGGCGCTACATTACCCAAAGAACTGAGTCTTCTTATGTTCAGAAAAAAAATTTTACGACTTTCGAGGCGTTTTAGCGGTCATCAAACGTATTGGAAAGTTTCCTCTTTTATCTAGTAACCACAAACAAATTATCAAAAAAATTAAAAATGATGTTTTTTGAGAAAATTGAGTCATGATTTTTCCCAAAAACGCCCGTCAAAATTTTTTAAAATATTGGAAATATAGAGCATCGAAAACACTTCTACAATCAACAAACCGAATTGAAAAATATTGATTTTTTAAAAAACTAAAAAGATTTTAAAAGATTGTCAGCGGTTTTTCTCTAAAACCATACTTTGCCCTAAAATTTTCAGATGCCCGTAACTCAGTGAAATTTTGTTTTTGCAAAACAAAAAATACGTGTCTCTTTATTTGTGCTACAAAACATGAAATGTCGTATTAAACTTGATTTCGAATTTTGAACGTGTCAAGTTAGCACTACACTATTCGAAATTGGAAAAAATCTACGTTTTTTCTGGCAGGCTGTAGGTGTGTTTTTGGTTAGTGTATTGGTGTTTTTGGTTCAGTGTGTTAGTGTATTTTGAATAAATTGTAATAGAAATAAAAGAAATTGTAATAGAAATGAAAGAAATTGTAAAAGATAAGAGCACATGCCAAAAAACAGGTGATCTCAGCTGTAGGCATTTTCTGGCAATCAGCTGATAGTGTTTTTACTTATGAAACTGTACGATGGTTACAACGAAATTAATTGTAGCTTTTTTGTTGTCAATTTGTTGTGGAAAGAAAAAATTTGTAGCTCTTGTTTTTTAATAAAAAATGGTATGTAGTGCTAACTTGACACCATACACCTAGTCGATAGAATTGAGATATCCAATATGTAACTATGCCATT